CCCTCGAGCAGATCAACACTCCTGCCCAACTTGGTGTCATCTGCAAAGTCACCAAGGGTGCACTCGATCCCCTTGTCCAGATCATGGATGAAGATGTTAAACAGAACTGGCCCCAACACTGAGCCCTGGGGAACACCGCTTGTGACCGGCTGCCAACTGGATTGAACTCCGTTCACCAGAACTCTTTGGGCCCAGCCATCCAGACAGTTTTTTTACTCAGGGAAGAGTTCACAGGTCCAAGCCATGAGCAGCCAGTTTCTCCAGCATTCTCCCCCAGAATGCTGTGGGTAACAGTGTCAAAAGCTATAGTAACTGAAGACTAAGTACACAACATCCACAGCCTTTCCCTCATGCACTAAGCGGGTCACCTTGTCATAGAAGGAGATCAGGTTAGTCAAGCAGGACCTGCCTTTCATAAACCCATGCTGACTGGGCCTGATCACCTGCTTGTCTCGTATGTGCCACATGACGGGCCCGATCACCTGCTTGTCTCGTACGTGCCACATGATGGCTCTCAAGATGATCTGCTCCATAACCTTCCTCAGCACCGAAGTCAGACTGACAGTCTGCAGTTCCCTGAATCCTCCTTCCAGCCCTTCTTGTAGATGGGCGTCACATTTGGTAACCTCCAGTCAACTGGGACCTCCCCAGTTAGCCAGGACTGCTGGTAAATGATGGAAAGTGGCTTGGGGAGCACTTCTGCCAGCTCCCTCAGCACCCTTGGGTGGATCCCATCTGGCCCCGCAGACCTGTGCGTGTCTAAGTGGTACAGCAGGTCACTAACCATTTCCCCCTTGGATTATGGGGGCTTCATTCTGCTCCCTATCCCTGCCCTCCAGCTCAGGGGGCTGGGTGCCTGTAGAACAACTGGTCTTACTATTAAGGACTGAGGCAAAGAAGGCATTAAGTTCCTCAGCCTTTTCCTCAGCCTTTGTCACTATGTTTCCCCTTACATCCAATAAAGGATGGAGACTCTCCTTAGCCCTCCTTTGGTTGCTGATGTATTTATAGAAACATTTTTTATTGTCTTTAATAGCAGTAATCAAATTAAATTCTAGTTGGGCTTTGGGCCTTCTAATTTTCTCTCTGCATAACCTCATGACATCCTTGTAGTCCTCCTGAGTTTCCTGTCCAACCTTCCAAAGGTCATAAACTTTCCACCGGAGCCGATGTTCTTCCCTGCCAGCTTATATTTCAGCACATGGGGCTAGCCTGTTCCTGTGCCTTTACGATTTCCTTCTTGAAGGATGTCCAGCCTTCCTGGACTCCTGCCCTTCAGGACTGCCTCCCAAGGGACTCTGTCCGCCATGCTCCTAAACAGGCCAAAGTCTGCCCTCTGGAAGTCCAAGGTGGCAGTTCCGCTGACCCCCCTCCCTCCTTCTCCAAGAATCAAAAACCCTATCATTTCATGATCGCCGTGCCCAAGATGGCCTCCAACCACCACATCACCCACGAGTCCTTCTCTGTTCACAAATTGGTTCAGTGGGGCGCCTTCCCTAGTTGGCTCACTCACCAGCTGTGTCAGAAAGTTTTCTTCCACACACACTCCAGGAACCTCCTGGACTGTTTCCTCTCTGCTGTATTGCATTTCCAACAGATATCTGGTAAGCTGAAGTGCCCCACAAGAACAAGGGCTAGCAATTGTGAGACTTCTCCCAGCTGCTTACAGAATATCTCAGCTGCCTCTGCATCTTGGTTGGGAGGTCTATAACAGACTCCCACCATGACATCTGCCTTGTTGATCTTCCCCCTGATTCTTACCCATTAACACCCCAATGTTATCATCACCTTCATCAAGCTCTAGACAGTCAAAACACTCCCTAACATACAGGGCTACCTACCCCATGGCCTCTCCTTCCTTGCCATCCATTGCAGCACTCCCGATGTGCAAGTCGTGCCACCACGTTTCAGTGACGGCAACGATTAACATTTCAATGGTTCAGAGACATACTGAGGAGCTGATAAAGGGTCCTGCTCCCTCCCGCCAGCTCTGTACCTCACAGAGGAAGGTGAAGATGCCCTGATGTTCCTTAAGGAGCTTGGCAATGGTGAGGCTGCTCTGCTTGATCCCACCTAGCGGGTCAAAGAGGAGGTCACGGTTGAGGGTCCCCTTCCTCTCCTCCGTCCACACGTCGATCTCTTCCTGGTGGTACGCGAAGGTGCAGTTATCCCCGTACTTACAGTCCTGCTTGTTAAGCATATCTACAAAGCAACAAACAGCACACACCACCACACAGGGAGGGCGGCCCAGTCAGAAACTAAACTCTCTCTCGTCTCCTCCCACTGCCCACACCTCACAAGGAGCTGAAAGCAAGAAAACACAGTTAAAGAAAGAAGAAAAGACATCTCCCCCCCAAGTTTGTCTATACCAACACATTCAGGAAAGATAATGCAAACTACAGAATGGTGACAATCTCAAGTAATGCCATTTGTTGTGGAAACGATCCCACAATGGAGGGCTGCTTTAATTCAGTCCTGGCCATAGACAGACCACAATTTAACCAAACCGTTTTGAAGCCAATCTAGATTAAATTCTCCTAGCTGCCCCACTAAGGAGCCCTGTTATCTTGACTTATGCAACCTCCCCACCTCATTAGGTACTTTTGTAATAAGACCGCCTCAGGGACCAGTCTGGTCACACTTCCTGCACGTATGATGGATGGGCTGGAGAAAAGGAGCAGGTAGAGAGAGCTTTTCCCCAGGCAGAACCACAACCCTGTCACACAGGGCTGCTGAGTGGAGTGAGACTAATGCAGGCAACATGTATAGAAGGCAGGTTCCCAGCAATGCACACGTCAACAGGACAGCTCTGAGCGCTTGGCTGTGCACAGCACCTCACCATGCCTTTGCAATTCTTCCGCTCCACCACCGTGGGCTACCAACAGGACAGGAAGACCCTAGAGACAGCAGGTGATACCAACTGGAAGTCCCCTTGCAACCTCCCCTGGCGTGCACCGTACAGCCCCTTCCCAGCCACCAACAGCCCTATCCCCTCCAGATCACCTTTGCACAGGTAATAGGATCCTACAAAGTTGGTTTTGGTTGGGCGAGGACGGATCCTCTTCCAGGTCTTGTCTTCCGAGCTCTTCAGCCTGCCCAGCAGGATGTCCCGCTTGCACTTGTGCTCCAAGCCCTCCCGATAGGTGTAATCACCAGCCTTGGGCCCTGCAGGATAGAATAACCCCCTCAGTTCAGGGAAGGCCAAACCCTAGCCTGGGCCAGTGCTCTGGGTGGCAGAGCAAACACATCACCTGTTTTCGGGTAGCAGATATGACAGGCTTGTTTGAAGACATGAGTAGATGCTAGGGGGTTCTTCACCAGCAGGGCTGTGTTGGGTATTACTGGTTCCGGCTGCGACAGCAGGTGCTCAGAGACCTTGGGCACAGCTGGGTGACTCACTCCACCAAGGCTGACCTGAGTGAACACACACGTACCTCTCTTCTCAGATCTGCAACCACATGGTAAGAAATCTCTCTAATCCCTTGCCCCATTCCAGTCTCTCAAAAACCTTCCTCATTTTCTCTCTCATCAAAATGTTCACATTTCCAAACGAGCTGCACGCAACCTTTTCAAAGATAACAAACAGCGTGGTATGTTCACTTCAAAGACAGGCCTTTCCTTTGGTAAAGGCCCTTTTCTATCACAGAACAAAATGCCCCGCTCACTCCTTCCCATTCCTTCCACCATGACCAACTCTGCATTTGAAGACTCTCAAATCAACCCTATCCCAACCTGACAAAAAAAACAAACCACTTATCAGTGAGTCTTCATGGAGCAGGTTAACCTGAGGACAGAGATCTGGCTCTGCACTGAAGTAACAGGGACAGCAGGACACCAGGAACTTGAGAATAATTCCTGTTCAAAGCTTGCTAACCATAGACAACCCTCCCCCTTTCCTCCAAGACTGGAGACATGAGACAGGGGCAGGACAGCGTACCTGGAAAAGCCTCCTGACGGGGCAGAGAGGAGCAAAGAACCTCACTAATTTTAAGACACAGCTGGCTTCTTCCCCCTCATCCTTCAGTGTTATGTGGCTGCCAGATATAGTGGGACACCGGCCTCCACGATCCCCTGTTGAGCCTACAACCTGGGTCAACCCTTGTTTACCTTTGCAATACACACGGTTGCAGACAAAAATGAAAACTGATCTCCTGCTGACTCTGGGGAAATCTTTACCTGCCTTGGCACAACATGGGAGGCAACACTCACTGGGGCATGCTAAGAAGAGGGGCCCAAATTACCTATGTCACCCAAGTCACTACTACCTTGGCTCCAGAGCACCTTGGGACATCAGCACAGGGAAGCGGCTCACTCACCACGGGGGATGGTTTTTGGCTGCCAGGTGGGTGTCGCAGTTCCTGAGGGCTAGTTTCTTCTGGGCAAAAGAAGGGAGAAAAAGCCCCACAAAACATAAACAATCATTTCACTTTCAGAGGCAGTTCTGCTCACAAAAAGACAAACAAATGCTTATTAAAACCATTTGCTTTATGTATTTCATCACTTTAGTATTTTTTTCCCCAAATCACCTGTCTAAGTCTTGGAAAAACTCCAGAAAAGGCCTTCTTGTTTCCCAAACCCCACTGAACCTGACTATCTGTGGCTGAGCACTGGCATTCCCAAGGTGGCAACTCCAAGGTAGCCCAGTGCTGAGGTGAATCTGAGTGTTGAAGTGCTGACTGGACAATCTCTGCTCTTCTCAAAATACTTTTGCTGCAATACTAGGGACAAGTTAGCCAAGAAGAAGCCTGCCTTCCCTCCTGGGACAGGAGGGGACCTACTCTTTGCCCACCATCCTCCAGAGCTTTGCTTCTTGTGACACGAGTGTGCAGTGCCCCATGCAACAGGACACTCGCTGCCCTGAATCCTGAGATGGAAGAGACCCATCTTGGCCTCTACCATTCTGCCCAGCGCAACGAGGTCCTAAATCATCTACAACAGTCACCAGGATTTTTCTCATTTGGTCCAAAATGTCAGAGTCATTGGGGAGGGTGGAAGAATCATGTTATAGTCTAGCAAATTGTGCCAAGGGAGGTGTCCCGGACACGAAGCCAGGTTTAAATCTCATCACTCATTATTATACACCTTCGCGTTCCTTTCTCCTCTTGAGATTTCACACCATGCACTGGGTGCTGGTTATCTGGGATTACACACCTATAGCCTTTCTCACTAATTCTGAGCTAGACATATTCAGTTGCTCTGTACAAGACAGAGCCCTTTTCTACATTTATACTCCTGTTCTGCAGCACCAGCAGACAGAGCCATACGACAGATGTCCTCAGCACTGAAGGAAATAATTTTGGCACACAATCATTGGTAAAGCAGACCAAAACCCCATCAGCCCCACACCTACCAATGGCAAACGAATCCAAGGCATCCAGTGACCCTCTGCTTGTCCCAAAGGAGTCCAGGGCATCAAGCCGTGAGTCTGTGTAGGGGAGCAGATCCAGGGAATCCAGTGAATCTAAGGTGGAGCCGCCACTTCCTCCTGGTGGGGCCTCAAAGGCATCCAGGACAGAGGAGGAGGAGAGCTGCTTGGTGGGATCCATCACCAGGCCGAAGGAGGCAGGTGGCAACGGGGTGGAGACAGGGATGCTGGCTGTCACAACTGGGGGCAGCAGCGGAGTTCCCCCCGGAAACACAGGGATCAGCTGGGGCATCTCCGTTGGCAGGTTGGTAGGAATGGTGCCCTGGACCAGAGACTTTGGGGAATCGGGAAGTAGGAGGATAAACAGCACATTAGGAACGAGGAGCAGAGAATGAGTGAACACAGAGAGCAACAGCCTCCCACTCAAGTGCGTGCTGTATTATCTGAAGCAAAAGGATACCCAGCAGCTCCATCCCCCTGCAGACTTCACACAGACCTTCCAATCTACCTACACCACACACAGTCTGGATCGAGGTCCCTGAGGAGGTGTTGGGCTACCTGAGCTCATCAATGTGCAAAGCAGAGCCCTGCACTGGGCACTTAAACCAGCTCAGGTCAAGAAACAGAGCAGCTGAGTACACAGCACCGAGGTCAGGTAATGGTCATTACTGTGGCACCTCTCATCAGAGCTTTTTGGCTCGAGAGGCATCCTGTGTGAATATGATTATGCTGCTTCCAGACCCAAGCTGGCTCACATAACATCAGCAACGCTGGCAACTACAATCCAACATAAGTATAAATACAGATTGTCTCTGCAGCTCCCAAACCTGTTCAAAGAGCTTAGGCTGAATGCAGCCTGCACAAAATACCAGGAGATTAGG